CAGATGACAAACTTCCCAGTACACTTGTCACCCGTAATTAAGTCTTCCTAATTGTTCTATTACACAAGGATTACAAGACAGAAAAGCAATCAGACACCAGCGATTCTTCATCTCGCTTCCAAACATGTGCAGACCCTTAATGGGGTGATGTGGGTGAAGGCAGCATACCAGCACACGGACAGAGGTGTGTCTGTGTGTGGCAGGCCTGGCTCAGGCACACTCAAAGATTTAAGACAAGCATGTGTCTGTTTTATTATCACACCATAAAAATCCAACATACTTGGAAAGGGCTACGACCTGGAAGTAAATTTTCAGCCTTTTGTAACCCACAGCTGTTCCTCAGGCAGTTCCCTTATGATTCCTATATAACCCGTACTGCTCAGTTTTACGTCAGCTTGACACATGCTGGAGTCATTTTGGAAACAGATATTGGCCTATGAGCAGACCCTGTGTTGCATTTTCTTTATCTATGATGGATGTGGGAGGGTCCAGACACTGTGAGGGGTGTCACCTCTGGGCTGGTGGTCCTGGACATATAAGGAGGCTTGCTGAGCAAACCAGTAAGTAGCACTCCGCAATGCCCTCTGCCTCAGTTTCTAGGTCTAGGTTCCTGCCTCCAGGTTCCTGCCAGGACTTCCCTGGATGATGGACTCCAAGTTATAAGATAAAACAAATCCTTTCCTCCCCAAGTTACTTTTGTACATAGTGTTTATTACAGCAAAAGAAACCCCAACTAAGACAAAACCTTTTATGATTCTCAGCCTGTTTCTCCAGAAGTTGAGGTCAGTCTCTTTTCACTGACTCCATGGCTACTGATGTCTAGTCTTTTCATTCTTTTCTCTCTTCTTCTTCTCTCCTCCTCCCCACTTTTTTCTTTGGGTCTCAAGCATTCAAGACTAGTCTTAATTTTGCTATACAGCCAAGAATAAACTTGAATGTCTGATGCTCCTGGCACCACTTCCCAAGTGTTGAATTGCTGGGATGACAAGCATTTACTACTACTGTGGTGTACTAGAGAGCAAACCCAGGAAGTCCCTGAACCTGACAGGACACATGAGGCCTCCTCTCTCTAAAGTTACGTAAGCAGTAGGGCTGCTGAGGAGACTCAGACTAGCTGAGCTCCCCGGAGCACACTCTTAACTCTGTTCAACTGCCTGTACGTTGTACAAAGACCCCAGGTTTCGTCAGCCATCTCCCATGCTGGGGTTAAGCATTCAGTGATGGAGCTGCCTTTGAATCATCTTTGCTTCAGTAAGGAACCCCAGTACAGTCCTTGGTTTGCCAAGTTGGACTTTAGTAGTATCATTACTTTGATATGTCATCATTACATGAGGTGAACAGACAGTTATGACACTTCACCCTGGGGAAAGTGTTCCATAACAGGGATTGATTTGTCCAGACAACACCGCGTGATTTTGACATCAGTGTCCCCTGACCTATTTGGAGAGAAATTCCTGTTTATAACCCAGTCCTTCCTGACCCTCTCAACTATCTTTCCTTCCAGGGGAACACTCCTCGGCTTACGGGGAGGCAGTGTGAGTTGATGGGTCTGAGAATAAGGGCTGAGTTGGCTGGAGCAGAAGGGAGAACACGCCTCCCATCCATCACAAGGCCGGGTGGTATTTATGTGTGAGGCTTGTTCTGGAAGCCTTCTCCTGAGCCTTCCTCCAGGAGTTTAGCTATTAGTGATTGACACAGCTCTAAATAGAGGAAGGAATGGAGGAGACTCGCATTCTCTGAGCATTATTTTCCCAGTGTGTTATGCGTTACCTTACAGTTTCTCTGCAGCCTACCAGGGTCCCAGTCCCACCCCACTGCCCACAGCCAGTGAAATTAATTACTTCCTTGCTGTTTCACACTCCCCTGATCTCTTAAGCCCCTATGCACTGACAGAACACTTACTGGCATTCTGCTAATTGTGTGCCGAGAGCTCTTTTCTTCAGGTAGCCTTTGCTCCTCAGGGCTTGTTGGTGTTTTCTTTAGCTCAACATCACCCAGATAGATGGTCTGCAGGTGAAGCTGACCCTTTCTCCTGTGGTGTGCTTCTTTGAGAGGGCTGCACCTGTCGGATGTGCCTTTGCGGAGGCAACCTGACCTCTCTCAGCAATGTTTTCCTTCCACATATTTTTATGTTACTACCGGCAAATATGTGCAGAACTGCTGAGGGAAGCCATTGCTTTTAAAAGACGCGACCGGTGGACCGCGAGGCTCAGTGTGAGGCTACAGCCACCTGCGCTATTACAGCTTCCAGCCTTACCGAAGCCACACAGCTGAACATTCTCCATGTGTGGTGTGTGGACGTGTACTCTAGTGCACGCATGTGCATTTGTGTATGTAGGCCAGAGGACAACCTTTATTTTCCTGATTGTTTTCAGTATCTCCCTGATGCCAACTCATTTCCCACCTTGCAGCTACAGGTCTCCCTAAAACCTAGGTTCCTAGTTCCTCTTCCTTGGTAAAAAAAAAAAAAAAAAAAAAAAAAAAAAAAATCAACCGACATCTTGCTCTGACACCCAAGGCCTATCCATGCACATACACACTTGCAGCAGGGGCCACACCTGAAGCATGCCCTCCCCCAAGCAGCACACTCAACAGCCAGGCCCTCTAAACAGCCTCTACGCTGGCTTCCGCTATCTCCTCTGCCTACCGTGTTGTCTAATATCACCTTGGAAGCCTTAGTCCAGACTGATGACACTAACACCTGATTCTACCACTCACTGGCTGTAGGACAGTGTGAGGGCACCTGGAACCTTCTAGTCTCAGTTTGATCATCTTTAGGGGCAAAGAGTCAATCAATAGAAGTCTGAAGAAAAAAAAAAAAAACAGACAATTCTCAGACAGAATTCTCAGCCTCCCATTCAACCTTACCATTCACAGTCAACACATTGTGAATTATTGGAGATGGAGGGTGTGTTTTTTGTCACTCCTCTAGCCTGAGAGGCCTTGAAGGTCAAGGCTCTGTGTCTCAGCCACGGCCCCATATTTCTCACAAGCAGCTGTGCCATGAATATTACATGAGGAGTCATTTATTCCTCCCTCATGGCGAGACACATTTAGAGGCCATTTGCTTCTCTGAGGTGTGTTGATATACACGGGCTCAGAGGTCAGAAGTAGGTACCTTCCAACCAGAGCCCTATGACCTCAAGCTTGAAGTGTTTATTTTCTAATCAGGAAAGAGAGGGTGGCAATGCCGCTATAGAAATAACCCTATTCGTAGTTGCTCTGAGGAATTTTTCTCACTTTCACATGTATGTGTGTGTATGTATGTGTAGTTTGCCTTTGTGTCAGTGTGCGTGCCTATGTACAGATGCATTTGGTGCACTGAGGCTGATGCTAAAGACCATCTTCTACCATGTTCATTGAGCAAAGATGTCTCAATCAAACCCAGAGCTCACTGATAGGAACCCCCTGTCTCCACCAGGCTGGAATTATAGGTGGACCTCTATGCCCACCTGGCATTTTATGTGGGTTCTGGGTATCCAAACTGCGGCCCTCACAAGCAAGAGTTTTAACCAATGAGCCATCTCCCCAGCACCGTGCTCTGAGGACCGACACTGATGTATGCAGAGTGCCACCAGCATTATTAGGAGGTCACTGTGCTCCTGCTTCAGAGCCTCCCCAGAGTCTCCTGGCACTGCCCAGATAACCAGATAAACCACAAGGTGCTGATTTGTGGTCTTTCTTTCCTTCCTTCCTTCCTTCTTTCCTTCCTTTCTTTAAGTCTTGGGAATGGAGAGTTGGCTCTGCAGTTAAAAGTACATATTGTTCTTCCAAAAGACCTGAGTTCAGTTCCCAGAAGGCACAGCTTATATGCCTGTAATTCTAGCTCCAGGGGAATCTGACGCCATCTTTGGCTTCCACAGGTACCTGCAGGCATGTGGCATACAGGCAAACAGACTTACACTTACATACATAAATAAAAATAAATTTAAAATCTTGGGAACTATGGTCCAACTGTTCCCTTAGCCCTAATGTGACTCTCATGAGTCCTAAGAACCCTTGTTTTTATGCACTTATTTTTTTATTTAAAAATACATGATGAATTATATTTTTTACTATACTGATACAAAGATTAATGTAATTCATTCTTATGCATTGTCTAATTTTCCATTCAATTTCTTTGGATTTTAAGAGAAGAAAAGAAAAATAAAAAAGAAGCAGAAAGCACGAACTGGGAGGAGGATGTGGGGTGGAGAGAAAAGAGGAGGGGTGTAGGGGGTAGATGTGATCTGAATGCATTACCCTCGCGTGTGAAATTATGGAAGAATATACAAACTGTGAAGCACGTCATTAAGTGTGTGTGTCGGGCACCGTGCCAGTCTTTGGAGACGGCACTTTCTCTATCCAGCTCAGTGTGAGGTGATGGCACACTCCCCCCTCTGAGTGAGTTTACTCTCCTGTTTCCCCATCGCTGGGCAGTTCATCCCTGAAAGGAGCTGCAGACAGCAGTCTCTGGCATCTTCTCTGCACTGGGGACCTGCTACCTTCCTGGGACTCAGCGGGTGTGCGCCTCTGGGCAGTGTACTTTGCAGCAGGACGCTGGAGACACTGACATTGCTGGTGGGAACCCTGCTTTGGCCAGGAGTGAGGAGCTGGTTTTCCAAGCCCCCAACTCTCCACCCAACTTCCCCTCTCCTGCTTGAGTTCCATCCCGGAACTCACAGGGTGGAAGGAGAAAACTGGCCCCTGCAAGTTGTCCTCTGACCTTCGTACATGTGCTATGGCACCCCTCCCCCGCCCACACACACACAACGTATAACATTTTTTAAATTAAATACTTCTTATAATTTTGCTCCTTGCAAATGTTCTCACGTGCTCCATGGTTTTTGACAACGAACTGTTTAGTGTATTCAGCCCTTTGAACCTTGTCAGCGCCGCCTTCCGCCCCGAACACGCCCCTCCCCGGGTGTAGCTGAATCTGGCTTCTTCAAAGAGCCCCGCCCCCAACCTCTTCTCCTAGCGTAGTCCCCGCCCTTTATTTCCCCAAAGGCTAGGGCCACTATGCGCATGCGTGTCACGAAGCTTTGCTTCCTGAAGTCTCCAGCAGCTAGTAGTATTGTAAGTACTGCAAAGCCAATGTCGCGACCTTGTGGACTCCAGGAACCTGTCAGGTAAAACTTTCCGGACTCCAGGCCCTGCAGCCCGTCCCAGCTGGTTCCCTGGTGACTGCTCTGGCCTGAGTCTATCCGTTTGGATAGCCCTGCCGATCCATCCGTTCAGGCTCCTCAGGGCTCGCCTCCAGCCGGGACTTTGCTCTTCTGCTCCTGGGGACAGAGTGGGGGTTTCGCCTAGCAAGATTCACACACACATACGCACACCACTCCTGACCGTGGTTCCTGCTCAAGGCACTGCTCCCAGTCTGGGCTCAAATGATCCTGTTATTACCAACAGGGCTGTCCTGAGAATTAAACAGTGGGGTGTGCCCTGCTCAAAGCGTTGCTCCTGTTTTGGTGGTGTAGTCTCCAGACAGTTTTAGACTTTTCCCTGCCCCTCTGGGCAGTTCTAGGGACTCCTTAAAAGTCTTCTTCCCACTAGGCTGGCTGGTTGTTTGTTTTTGGACGGGGGCCTGTGTGCCAGCTTTCAGTGACCCTTTCCAGGACAGTTGATTGATTTGCAGCCAGCTCCCCGACAGGTGGAGGGGGACATGTGGAGGACGAGAATAAGCAAACACCTCCTACCAATGGCTTGTTAAGGATGTGTAAGAGTACCTTGCTGTGTACGAACTGGCCCTTTATCTTCATGTCTACCCCAAAGCAAGTTACAGTTGAGGACTTGGAGGCTCCAGGAGATGATGTCATAATTTCCTTTCCATATGTAGCCCAGACTGATCTCAAAGTTTTAGCAATCCTCCTGCCTCAGCCTTGCACGCACTGGGACACAGGTGTGAAGCTAGCACACCTGGCTCCATCCATTTTTGAGATGAAATGAATTCTGGCTGACCTAGTTATCTGCGTTTGCACAGTCATAGTAAAGAATAATGAAAACTAGTGTCCATTTTTTTAATATTAGTTACAGTTTATTAAGTTTGTATCCCAGCTGTAGCCCGCTCCCTCATTCCCTCCCAATCTCACCCTCCCTCCCTCATCTCCTCCCTGCCCCTTTCCAAGTCCACTGATAGGGTAAGTCCTCCCCCTCTTCCATCTGACCCTGGTTTATCAGGTATCTTTAGGACTGGCTGCAGTGTCCTCCTCTGTGGCCTAGCAAAGCTTCTCCTCCTTCGGGGGGGGAGGGTCAAAGAGCCAGCCATTGAATTCATGTCAGAAATAGTCCCTGTTCCCCTTACTAGGGTACCCACTTGGATACTGAGCTACCTTGTGCTATATCCAAGCAGGAGTTCTAGGTTATATCTATACATGGTCCTTGGTTGCAGATTCAGTCTCATAAAAGACCTCTGCCCAGATATATTCGGTCCTTGTGGAGCTCTTGTCCTCTCCAGGTCGTACTAACTCCCTGTACTTTCATATGATTCCCTGCACTCTGCCCAAGGTTTAATTATGAGTCTCAGCATCTGCTTTGATACACTGCTAAGTGTATCAAAGGGCTTTCAGAGGCCCTCTGTGGTAGGCTTCTGTCCTGTTAATTGTTTTCTCCTACTTCCACTGTCCATCCCATTTGTCTTTCTAAGTGAGGATTGATCATTTTACCCAGGGTCCTCCTTCTTGTTTAGCTTCTTTAGGTGTACAGATTTTATTATGTTTATCCTATATTTTATGTCTAAATTTCACTTATAGGTAAGTGTATACCATGTGTGTCTTTCTGCTTCTGGGATATCTCACTCAGGATGATCTTTTCTAGATCCCACCATTTGCCTGCAAATTTCATGATTTCCTTGTTTTTAATTGCTGAGTAGTATTTCATTGTGTAAAAGTACTACACTTTCTGTATCCATTCCTCAGTTGAGGGACAACTGGGTTGTCTCCAGGTTCTGGCTATAACAAATAAAGCTGCTACAAACATGGTTGAGCAAATGTCCTTGTTGTGTACTTGAGCATCTTTTGGATATATGCCTAGGAGTGCTATAGTTGGATCTTGAGGAAGCACTATTCCTAATAATCTAAGAAAGCGCCAGATTGATTTCCAAAGTGGTTGTACACGTTTGCATTCCCACCAGCAATGGAGGAGGGTTCCCCTTTCTCCACAACCTCTCTAGCATGTGTTGTCACTTGAGTTTCTGATCTTAGCCATTCTGATGGGTGTAAGGTGAAATCTCAGGGTCATTTTGATTTGCATCTCTCTGATGACTAAGGACGTTGAGCATCTTTTTAAGTGTTTCTCTGCCATTCTGTGTTCCTCTACAGAGAATTCTCTGTTTAACTCCGTACCCCATTTTTAAATTAGATTTCTTGATTTATTGCTTTTTTAACTTCTTTAGTTCTTTATATATTCTGGATATCAGCTCTCTGTCAGATATAGGGTTAGTGAAGATCTTTTCTCAGTCTGTAAGCTGTAATTTTGTTCTGACAACAGTGTCTTTTGCTTTACAGAAGCTTTTCAGTTTCGTGAGGTTCCATTTATTGTTGCTCACAGAGCCTGTGCTGTTGGTGTTCTGATCAGGAAGTTGTCTCCTGTCCTAATGAGTTCTAGGCTCTTCCCCACTTTTTCTTCTAAATGATTTAGTGTATCTGATTTTTTATTGAGGTCTTTGATCCACTTGGACTTTAGTTTTGTGCAGAGTGATAAATATGGATCTATTTGCATTTTTTCTGTATGTAGACATCCAGTTGGACCAGCACCATTTGTTGAAGATGCTGTCTTTTTTTTCCATTTTATGGTTTTGACTTCTTTATCAAAAATCAAGTATTCATAGGTGTGTGTGTTTATTTTTGGGTCTTCTGTTCAGTTCCATTGATCCACATTTCTGTTTCTATGCCAATATCATGCAGTTTTTATGACTATTACTCTGGAGTACAGCTTGAGATCAGGGTTGGAGATACCTCCAGATGATCTGTTGTTTTACAGGATCATTTTGGAGATTGTGGGTTTTTTGTTTCTCCATATGAAGTTGAGAATTTTTCTTTCAAGGTCTGTAAAGAATTGTGTTGGTATTTTGATGGGAATTGCATTGAATCTGTAGATTGCTTTTGACAGGATGGCCATTTTCACTATGTTAATCCTACCAATCCATGAGCATGGGAGATCTTTCCATCTTCTGATATCTTCTTCAATTTCTTTCTTCAGAGACTGGAAGTTTTTTTCAAACAGGTCTTTTACTTGCTTGGTTAGAGTCACCCCAAGGTACTTTGTGTTATTTGTGGCTATTGTGAAGGGTGTTGTTTCCCAGATTTCTTTCTTGGCCCTTTCGTCTTTGGTGTACAGGAGGGCTTTTGTTTTTTTTTTGAGTTAATTTTGTATCCAGCCACTTTGCTGAAAGTGTTTATCAACTAAAGGAGTTCTCTGGTTGAAGCCTACTTGGTCATGGTGTATGATGTCTTTTATCTATTCTTGGATTCGGTTTGCAAGTTAAAATACTTGAGTATTTTTGCATCAATGTTCATAAAAGAGATAGGTCTGAAGTTCTCTTTTTTTTTTGTTGGGTCTTTGTGTGGTTTAGGTATCAAGGTGACTGTGGCTTCATAGAATGAGTTTGGTAATGTTCCTTCTGTTTCTATTTTGTGGAATAGTTTGAAGAGAATTGGAGTTAGCACTTCTTTGAAGGTCTCGTAGAATTCTGTGCTGAAACCATCTGGCCCAGGGCTTTGTTTGGAAGGGAGACTGTTGATGACTGCTTTAATTTCCTTGGGGGATATAGGACTATTCAATCTTTCTCCCCGATCTTGCCTTACCTGTGGTAGATGGAATCTAATGTTCACTTTCTAAGGCTACCATGGCAAAGTCCTACAAACTGTGTGGTTTAATGAACAGTGATCTGTCCTCTCTTGGGTCTGAAGTCCAGTTCAAAACCAGCCTGTCATCAGGAACAGCATCAGAAGTCTCTAGGAGGACTTCTTTGCTTCTTCCAGCTTCCAGTGGCTTCTGGTCATCCTTGGCCTATAGTTGCAGCACTTTGGTCCCTTCTCTGTCTCCATGGGTGCCTCTCTTTAGCCTCTTCTCCTCCTTCTGAGACATCTGTCATTGGATTGGGAGTTCCCCCAAGTCCAGTGATATCATCTTAAGAACCTTAACTATTAACATCTGCGAAGATCCCATTGCTGAGTAAAGTCACATTCCCAGGTTTTAAGTTGACACAGATGAGGCCACTATTTAACACACTATGGAGCTCAGCAGCATGATGTGTTTGTCTGGGAGACCCAGAAAGGGCTCCATGAAACATGGTGGTGAATCTATTTGCACAACCGTCAGTAATGGTTCTCAAAAGTCAGTCCCTTGAGCTGCCATAGCAGCAACCTTGTCACGCTGAAGGTGGACCAAGTGCTCATTCCCCGGGCCTCACCTCAAAGTCCCTCAGTCATGTTTTAGGGTAAGTCCTGTAGCCTGTAGTGAGCAGCCTTCTAGCAGATTCTGAGCCTATTGGAATTTGAGAATTACCTTTATGGGGCATCTGATTTGGGAATATGGCAGAAGGACTAGGTAAGCCTCATAAAGAACTTTTGACACACCTGTCCTGTCTGTGTGTAACTATAGTATTTCCTTCTCAAAGTACCAGGAACAGAACCTGGGCTCCCGTGTAAGTAAGAGTATAAAGCAAATGCTCTACTGCTGAGCTATACTCTTATTATTATTATTATTATTTTTAATTTTGGAAAAGCCCTTCCTTCCTTCCTTCCTTCCTTCCTTCCTTCCTTCCTTCCTTCCTTCCTTCCTTCCTTTCTTTCTTTCTTTCTTTCTTTCTTTCTTTCTTTCTTTCTTTCTTTCTTTCTTTCTTATTTAGAAACTGGGTCTAGAGTTCAAATCTTGAACTCACTCTGTATCTCGGGGGTGCCTTGAACTTGTGATCCACCTGCCTCAGCCTCCCAAATAGCTGGGATTACAGTGAGTCACAGCATCCTTACAGATACCAAAGTTCAAGTGTTAAGTTATTGGGGGGATGTTTTATCATATATTGTTTGGTTGGGTTTTTGTTTGTTTTGAGGTAAGGTGTTCTGTCACAACTCACTGTGTTGCTGAGGGTAACCTTTGACACCTGGTCCGCCTACCTTTACCTCTCACATACAGGTTTTACATACATGTGTAACCTGTCTCACACTTGCATTTTAAATTTAATTTGCCTTTCAAAGTGAACTCGTGTATGCAATGCGGACAGTGTTTTTTGCCTCATTCAGGCTTGCCAATGCATGCAATTTAAGTACTGTGATTTCTGCCAGGTTATTGGAAAACTATAATGAGACCCAGAAACGAAATCCAAATGGACACACACACACAGACAGAGATTGGCAGAGCTAGGAGCCTTCTGCCACAGGTCTGCTTACTAGAGATCTTGCCTTGTCTTAGGAACAGTCTAATAGATGATGCCAAGGCCCGTTTGAGAAGGTTTGATGTTGGGACCAGATATTCCCACTTGTCCCCTAATAAGTACTCTGTTCTTCTGCCGTTGCTGGTCAAAGGAGGAAAGCTGTACTTGCTGTTCACTGTCCGCTCAGACAAGGTAGGTGACAAGAGGCTGTCTTGTGACGTCTCGGGGCACTTGAAAACACACTGCTGTCACTTCGTCCTCACTTCAAGGCTGCCGCTATCAAATGAACTTTTGAAGTCATGGCATTGGGGGGCTAGTGGAAGCCACCGGATGAAGCGGGCTTTTGTTTGTTACATGATTTTGAGACATGGGTTTGCTCTGTAGTTCAGGCTGGCCTTGAACTTATGACAATTTGCCTGTCTCGGCCTCCCAAGTGCTGACCTTAAGTTTTGGTATTTGTTTTTCAGTCTCTCTCTCTCTGTGTGTGTGTGTGTGTGTGTGTGTGTGTGTGTGTGTGTGTGTGTGTGTACATGATTATGGAGGGCAGAGGAAGACATTAAGCGGCCTCCCATCACTATCTGCCTTGTTGCCTTGAGACAGGGCATGTCACTGAACCTGGAACCTGTGGTTTTAGGTGCACATGCCTCGTACGCTGTAACAATGTTCCTTCCTCCACCCCACCTCAGAACTGGAGTTATAGGAATTCCCAACCACGTCAGCATCATTAACTGGGTGCTGGAGATACAAACTTGTACATGCAAGCATTTTTACCCTTTGAGCCACCTTCTCAGCCCAACATGCCATTTTTTTTTTTAAAAAAAGAGTTTTTAGAAAGAAGGAAAAGAAGAAGAAAAAAAGAAATTTACTTTATAAGAAATAGAAATACTTTTAGATCAGGGTTATTTACCGTTGGTGCTTTAAACAGCATTTGGGTCCAGAACATTCTGTGTTGAGGACCCTTCTTATGCACTGTGGGATGTGTAGTGTTGTCTTGACCTCTACCATGACAGCAGCACACACACACACACACACACACACACACACACACACACACACACACAC